CAACGGATAAGATGAGGCACAGAATACGAAGCGGCGGAGAGAGAAAATGTTAACCTTTTGAATTTTGAAATTTGAAAAGATTCAGACTTATCTAATCAAGTCGGAATTCGCAAAAAACGAGTCGTACTACAAGTTGAGGTAATGAAGGGATGTAACCCGAGACGACAACTGATGACGAGACATATGAAAGACTCGAGGAAAAAATCCAGTCGACAAAATCTACTCGTAAGCTCAGAATCGCTTCGAGTGATTTTGGGGGGGACTAGATGATATAGCCATACTGTCGTGCATCGGTTCAGTAACCGCGACATTGCCGCGATTGGCTCATAGCGGTTCATATCGTCACGGTTTGAGACTACCAAGTCGACTTCGGCAAAGTCGACTCTATTAGTAAGGTTCCATGGTACTCAGTCAAGAAGCCCGGCTCTCGACCGAGTCAATGTACATCTGTCGACTAGAATAAGTCGACCTCTGGTAAGATAACGGTCAGACGTATTAGGGTCTACTAACAGTTGAGTGCGACCCAGTCGACTCGACGTAATATCTCAGGTCGACTGAGGGAGTTGTAGCTCGTGGTGCCCGATAGCTTTGACACACCTCAGCATATTGCAGAAGAATTAAGGATAAGAAGGAAGCTAAGGAAGGATCTAGATGCTGACTAGGAAGTAGGCGGAATATGAACCGACCGGGGTATTCTGGACATTTCCATTAAGTCGGCCGGGGCACTTTGGAGACTTCAGGTATATATTGTACTCCTATATAAAGGACTGAGGTAATCCCAAAACCCTAACTCCCATTCATTCCATATCCTATTGATTACTGCTGCTGCTCTGAAAGCAGCTATCATCACCTCTCTCAGATACTGACTTGAGCGTCGGAGGCTCTACGCCGGAAACCCCTCCGGCGTTGAGTTCTTGCAGGTGTTCTTGCGGCTCACAACAACGGTTCGATCGCCATCACATCAGATCTAAGCTCATCCGTACCGGTTCGTCCCAGATCCGGACGTTTTCCAATCAGACCGTCCCAGATCTGAGAAGAAACTCATCAGTTGAAAAAGTCCGTTTTTATTTATTAGTACTGTAATAACTAAAGAAGAGGTAAGAATGATGTTTTACGTATAAAAAAAAAAAGATAATACTACACAACAAGAAAGCTTATAGCTCACATTCCATCCAAAAGTAAAAAAAAAAATAATAA